AACAGTTTGGCAGCTTTGCAAAAAGTTAAATATAGAATTACTATAGAGTCCAAATATTTCACTCCTAGGCATATACCCAAGAGGGGTAAAAGACACATTTGCCCAAATAAAACTTTTACACTAGCGTTTATAGCAGCACCATTCATTAGAGTCAACAAATATGACAGTCCAAACATCTACCCACCAATGAATGAATAAGCAGAAAGTGGTATACCAGCCAGCACAGTACTATTCATTCATAAAAGAAAGTCGACATTGGCACATGCTGGCATGGAAACTTGCAAATGCCATGCTAAGTTAAAGCCAGTCACAAAAGCCATCAGATCGTATGACCCTGTTTATTTTAGTATTTGTACTATCTAGTATGTCCAAGCAGGTACGTTTTATTATTTAAAAACCTATGTGTGTTGGGGGGTGTGTATGTGCATGTGAATACAGGTGCCCTCAGAGGCCATAAGAGGGTATAAGAACCCTGAGGCTAGAGTGACAGGCAGTTGGGAGCTGCCTGACATGGGTGCTGGGAACTGAATTCAGGTCCTCTGCAAGAGCAACAGGAGCTCTTAACTGCTGAGCTGTTTCTCCAGCCCCGGTGTGACCCTGTTTATATGAAAGGTCCAAAGTAGACAAGCCCACAGAGACAGAAAGTAAATTAGTGGTTGTAGGGAGTGGTTTGGAGAGGAATTGAGAGTGATTTCTCAAAGGGTATCACGTTTCCGTGTGCGGTGCTCTGGAATTAGGTAGTTGTAATAGCTTCATGACCTTCTGGGTACACTAAAAACCACTGTACTATACACTTTTAGCAGGTGAATTTTATAGGCTGTCAAATACATCTCAATAAAAGAAGGAGAGCAGATAGAACCTTCTTATGCAAATATTGAAAATAGTTGTTTTAAATCCTTCTGGGAACATCAGAGAACCCACTTAGATCATCTAAAAGGAAAACAACATTTTATTTAACAGTTAATTCTTTTGAATGCATTTCTCTGAGGGCTACCTTATGCTGCATTTTTACTACCGTCTTATTAAGTTACATATTAATAACAGCTAGATTTATAGAGAAATGTCTGGAAGGTTGTTAGCTGCAATGTTAGCAGGCTGCCTCTGGGAGAAAGTAACTTGTGTGGTTTTAAATTTATTCTTTATGCTTTTATGTATCACTTGCATTTTCTATATGCATAGCTATCAACTTTATAATCACTAAAATCTATAAAGCTCTTTTTTTGCTTTGGCTAAAGAAAATAATTGGATATGTCTCGAAAATGTTAGGTGATTTTCAAATTTCTTTCTACATGAAACCAATGTCATCTCTCACTGGTTGCTCCCAGGAGGGGAAAACTGTCCAATTAGTTGAGCGATCACGATTCAATTACTTTCTGATCGCTAACCAAGAGCCCGTGTGAGCCTAGCTGTGTGAGTTCGAAGGACGTTTAGGCCCTGAGTCCTACATTCCTGGTCTTTTGATGCAGTAAAGAATCTAAGATGTGTAAATAAATAACCAAGAGCAAGGAGGAACATGAAAGCCCAGGACAGAGATGCGGCAAGGCACTGTGGAATCCCTAGGCGGCTCTGATCTGCCACTGAGGGATTCAGAATGAGGTACTTTAGAACTTGGCCTTGAGACTGAGTTCCAGGCTGCCTTCTGTGGAAGGCAGAGCAGGGAGAGCCAAGAGCCAAGGCTGTATACATAGCTGTTCTAACCCTAGCTCATCTTTCCGGTCTTCCTCGTTTCATATTTAGGCCTGGCCTTCCCGGGCTGCTGAAACTCTAGGGCAGGCCTACAGCTCCACACCTTCCCTGAGGGTCGCCTGCACAACCTCTGTCTCCTTCATCCCCTAGCTCACTTCTGCTCTCTCTTGCGAGCAGAACTTCGGCTTCTGGAAGCTTTGTCAGAACAGGCAGTTAAAGGTCATGTCTGGACTCAGGCAGCACTCTGAGCCGTCTCCAGTGGCACACTGTACCCCTATTGTTACAGCACTCTGAGCCGTCTCCAGTGGTACACTGTACCCCTATTGTTACAGCACTCTGAGTGGTCTCCAGTGGTACACTGTACCTCTATTGTTACAGCACTCTGAGTGGTCTCCAGTGATACACTGTACCCCTATTGTTACAGCACTCTGAGTGGTCTCCAGTGGTACACTGTACCCCTATTGTTACAGCACTCTGAGCCGTCTCCAGTGTTACACTGTACCCCTATTGTTACAGCACTCTGAGCCGTCTCCAGTGTTACACTGTACCCCTATTGTTACAGCCTTTGTTTCCTTCTCTGGTTTGTAGAGCAGCTGAAGAGAGGCTGGGAGCTGGCCCAGAGCACCCATGCTGCCCAGTGAGGACTTAGATTGATGGAATGGGGTTCTTTCCTTCCCTCTCCTCTTGACCACAGAGCTGGGCTATGTTGCTGGGTCAGTCCGAACTCCCTATGCCCCAGCTGTGGCCAGTGACCCAGAGGAAGCACACTTTTCTTGGTGACAAGTGGCACTGATCATTGTCTGTTCCCCACTGACCATGGTGACCATGATGTATTCCCTGATGGCCATGGTGTATTCCCTGATGACTTGGTGTATTCCCTGATGACCTGGTGTATTCCCTGATGACCATGGTGTATTCCCTGATGACCATGGTGTATTCCCTAATGACCATGATGTATCCCCTGATGACTTGGTGTATCCCCTGATGACTTGGTGTATTCCCTGATGACCATGGTGTATTCCCCGATGACCTGGTATATTCTCTAATGACCTTGGTGTATTCCCTGATGACCTGGTGTATTCCCTGATGACCTTGGTGTATTTCCCACCAACAAGAGGGAGGCATCTGCAGAAGATGAAACCATCACACAGGATAAACAGAAAGAGGACACTTTCATTACTTCTCTCATTGCTGTGATAAAATCCCTGAGGAAATCAGCTTATTGATGAAAAGATTTGTTGTGGCTCGTGGTTCAAGAAGGGATGCAGCTCATTGTGGCTTGGAAGGTACGATGGTGGGAGCCTCAGGTATCTAGTCAGAAGCACAGAGTAGATAGAAATGGAGAAGGAGCCAGGCATAGTGGCACACATCTTTGATCCCAGCACTTGGGAGGTAGAGGGAGACAGATCTCTGAGTTTGAAGTCAGCCTGGTCTACAGAGGGAGTTCCAGGAGAGCCAGGGCTACACAGAGAAACCTTCTCTCAAGAAACAAAACCAAGCTGGGCCACCACACCTTAAATCTTAGCATTCAGAGGCAGAAGCAGGTGGTTTGAAGCCAGCCTGGTCTACAAAGTGAGTTCCAGGACAGCCAGGGCTGTCACATGGGGATGGGGGCGGGTCATACAACAAATACAGAGCTACAAAACTCTAAGATCTACCCGGTGACCCACTTCCTCCAGTGGCTCTGCCTTGCATAGACTCCACAACCTTCCAGAACAGCACCACCAGCTGAGGTTTTTAATTCATTAGCATAGGGGTGGGGCACATTTCACATTCACGCCTCTACCGCAGGGAAGGCGGTTGCCAGTAGTGCTGAAGACCCTTGTTCCAGTCTCTGAAGTTCCCAGAGCTGCTTCAGTTCTGTCCTATGCAGGATCCTTCAGTAAAACCTTGGTGAGTATAAAGCAACAGATGCTTGGCTTTCTTTCTTAGTAGCAAGAATATCTCTGTCTGGTGCTGGGCATCTTCCTAAGACACAGGGCTGAAAGGACCAGCTAGCTGAAGCTGGACTGAGGGGCTTAGGGTTTATATTACAGGTTTGGTAATGAAAAGTCAGAGCCTCAGGACTGAGCGCCAGCATCACGTAAGCTCTGAATTAGAGGGGGAGGTGAGACTAGAGGCCAGTTGGAAATGCAAAGTAAAACCACCCCCATATATCATGGAGGTCACGGAGAGAGAAGATTGAATAAAACACTGATTTTGTTATGTAGGAAAGAGCACCCAGACCTGTGATGGATGAGGAAGTAAAGGAGCAAGATGGTCATGTCGAATAAACAGGCGTTTCTGAAGCACTGTGAGCAGTGTGGTACCCAAACATTAGTCACTGATATAAATGCCATCTCGGGGGGCTTTATAAACAAGCAAGCCCCTGCCAGAGCTCACATCTGGCAGGTGATACATCCATCGTGTGTAAATACTTCACACAGCATCGATTACCCTGATCAATTTCAGCCATCTATCATTTTCCAGGCTTGCAACCCAATATAGGCAAATTGCAAAGGAATAAAATGTTCCAATCATTCCATGGCAGTGGCTCATAGGGAAACAGGGAATGAATTCCTGCTACATTCTAAGGCATGAAGGGGCCAATTTGCAACATTGTTTTTTCGTAGAATAAGATCAGGAAGGCATCCCTTTCTTCCTTTCTTTCTTTCTTTCTTTCTTTCTTTCTTTCTTTCTTTCTTTCTTTCTTTCTTTCTTTCTTTCTTTCTTCTTTCTTCTTTCTTCTTTCTTCTTTCTTTTCTTTCTTCCTTTCTTCCTTTCTTTCTTTCTTTCTTTCTTTTTCTTTTTTTTTTTTTTTGGTTTTTCGAGACAGTGTTTCTCTGTGTAGTTTTTCTTTGGCGCCTTTCCTAGAACTCACTCTGTAGCTCAGGCTGGCCTCGTACTCACAGAGATCCGCATGCCTCTGAAAGTTGTGGGGTTTTTTTTGTTTTGTTTTGTTTTGTTTTTAATATGGTACTGGGGATTGAAGCGTGGGTCTTATGTATGCTAAGCACACATTCTACCACTGAGCTATATTCCAGCCCCTTGGTATCCTTTTCAAAATTATTTTTCAAAGCCATCCTCATCGTTGGAGGGGGAAAATACCCTCAGTTATAAGACACAAGAATACAGACAAGAGATGCTGCCTGGGAGCTGCTGCCATGGACTCTGGTGCTGCAAGGTAGGGTCTAGGGTAAGAGGAAGCAAGGCTGGAAAGGTAGTTGTCAGTCAGGAAGCAGGTTTCCTCCTACAGCCAAAGGGACTTTATAGAGGTCTTCTAAGCAGGAAATGACATGGTCAGAATGGGTTTCAAAAAGAGTGTTTTCAGAGTTGGGGATATAGCTCAGTTGGCAGGGTGTTTGCCTGGCATGCATGAGGCCCTGGGTTCGATCCCCAGCACCTCCTAAGCCTGGTATGGTGTGACACATGGTGGCAATTCTAGCACTCAGGAGGTGGAAGCAAGAGGGTCAGGAGTTCAAGGCCATTATAGATTACTCGAGACGTTGTCTCAGAACAAAACAACAACAAAATGCCTTTCTAGGCAGGCATGGACGGCAGTAGGGAAGACACTGATGACTGCTGAGCGAAACTGGCAACTGACTCAGCCTACAGCATTTTCTTTCTCTGCCAGGGCATGACACACGCTTCGTCTAATTCAGTGCCTAGGAAGAGTCCCCCGGGGTAACTAAGAGTATTCACTTCAAAGACCTAAGTGCCAGCAGAGCAACTTGGAGAGTGAAGCCCCTCACCGAGGCCACACCAGTCTTTTTTTTTTTTTTTCAGTGTGAGATACCATCTCATGGTGTGCATTTTTATTCCCCGTAATGTCCTAAAGAAAGAGTGAGGCTCAGAAATTTGAAAGCACACGTCCCACCAGCTGGTGACAGCCCAAGTCCAAGTCTGAAAAAGGCTGTCGCTGCCACCTCACCTCCCCAGTCAGCAGATCCTGGAAAAGGAGCCTTCTGGGGGGCTCCCTGGCGTTCACGGTTAAGGCTCCAAGTCAACTTCAGTTGTTTGTTTGGGAGATTGGGGCTCATATGTGCTAGGCAAGTGCCTTACGCCTGAGCTTCACTGGTTCATTTTTGAGACTGGCTCGCCCTATATAGCCCAGGCTGGCTTTGAACTCTAGATCCTCCTGTCTCTGCCACCTGAGTGCTGAACTACAGGTGTGAGCTGTCACTTGTGTCACTCTGCCTGCTGGTTGGCAGTGATGCTGAGGAACGACCCCAAGGTTCCGCCTATGATGGGCAAGTGCTCTGCCACTGAGCTCCAGCTCCAGCCCTAGATGGTTGAAACGCCATCCATTCCGGCTCATGGCCTTTTAGTATGGTTAGGAGAAGGGAGGTGTGTGCTTGCTTGCTTGTTATGATTTTAATGTACGGCCCAGGCTGGCCTAGAACTCCTGATCCTTGTGCCGCAACCTCCCCAGGGCAACATCTTGCCCAGCAGACTAACTACATTTTAAGGGACTCCAGGAGCCAGATGTGACGCTGTGCTGGTAATGGCAACACTCACAAGTCAGGATAGTGAGTTGATAGCCAGCCTAGGACTGCGTCTCCAAAAGAGAAATCCGATACATGAATATGTAAGTGGACAGAAGGGCCTGGGAGAGGGGCATTGTGGGGGCTGGGCAATAGAGACTCTGCTTCCCTTCCAGGAATAGGCTCAGCATGGTAAAAAAATCATTCCTCTGAAGTCCTCTAAAACCTCAGGTCTCTGTGGGGCAGCCCCAGCCTGCCATGGTAATTTCCAAAGCCACCACCTCGAAGGCTCACAAATCCTTTGTTCATGCTCAGACATATAAATTGCATTAGCAGAGAGGAGAACCATGGTCTCGTGGTGCACTCAGAGAAGAAGAGGCGCGGCCACCAAGTGTACACACGTGATAACTCTCTCGGGCCTGGCCTCGCTCCAGGGGAGTCCAGCAGAAGGGCCAGCCTTTCTGGGCCTCTTCAAGCCTCTTCGACTAGTAGAAAAGGAGCTGGCTTCTTCCTAATAGGGTCCCGGCTGCAGTGGGGCTGGAGCAGACACCACACCTCAGGTCATTTAGTGAGAATTTACAAGTCGACTAAGAGCCTGGGCCTGGAGAGTCTGGGGCATGTGTATGTTGGGCATCTCTTCCTGCAGACAGCCCCGAGGCTCCTCATATTTCCCCCACTTTGATCCTTCCAGCTAGCAGTTCATTAGTATTCCAAAACACACAGCATTTTTCCATCCATCTACATTTATACCAGGGCTCGGCTATTTCAGCTCCTGGTTCTGAAAGACTCAGCTACCAATTGGAAACAGACTTTTATTTCAGTCTCCCAGTCCAGACAGGACAGAGGACAGAAAACAGGGCTGATGACTGTCAGGCTCTGGGCAGGTTCTAATCTCAGCCTCCCTGCTTGCTCGCTGTGTGGTTTTGGGGAAGTCACCGGAATAAGTAAATCTCTGTACCTTTATCTCTAAGTCAGTAAGGTCAGTGAGGGAGGGAGGGAAGGAAGAAGAGAAAGAAGGAGGG